AATCAGTTGATGAAGAGATGCAGGAGAGGGCCAGAGTGGTAAGTTTTAGAAACCTTGGCACAAGAGGAACCTGGTTGGCCTTGGTGAAGGCAGGGAGAGGGCTGCGGGGCACTAGATAAATACTTAAAGGGCTGTTATATGGATCAGGTGGGTTACACGTTCTCTGGTAGCTCAAGAAGACAAATCCAGAAACAGTATATAGAGTTACAATTTAAGGAAGAACTGTCTAGCAGACTTCCCCCTCTATGGAGGAGTGGGTTTCTCAAGTTGCATATATTCAAAAAAAGGCTGCATGGCCCCTTACTGAATAATTCCTATTGCGTTAATCTAGATAAAAGTCCCTTTTAACTCTGTGGCTGTGATCCACTTGCCTTGTAAAACAAAGCCAACTCCCATGAAAGAAGAGGAATGCAGTGCAAGGCCTCTAAAGTGGACTGGCCATCAATATCCTCCATTTTCACCAGGGCCTGGAGGGCAGTTAGCTAGGCAGCTGTCCGAGGTGCTGGAGGGAGTTGCCCTGTGGGGGCAGTTGTGCCCTTCTGGTTTTCTTCATGTTTGTTTCAGTGTCTTCTGGGTTTTTGGCTTTTCTGTTCCTTATATAGATCCATTAACACCCTCCCACACACACATCAGACCCTTAATTAAAGCAAAGAGAGAAATGCATTGGAAATGTGTAAAAGAGCTGAGCTAAATAATTACCTGGGGCTTCCTCTGCCCTTTCTCAGGAGTAAATGAATTCATTTTATGTTCAAAGTTAGGCTTGGTACCTAAAGTTGGACTATTTCACTGGATTGAAAGTTAGAATAATAACTCATTGCTTTGAGGCAATTGTACTGATTTGCTTCTTGATGTCTTTATCTTATGCTTTTCTACAGTCTTTACATACCCTGAATAGATATAAGAATCTTGGGCAGAAAATTATTTTTAGAGGGGGAAGGAACACTAAGTATTTCAACTAAACAGCTCTGCAGCCTTAAGTGCACCCAGGAGTCGTGTGATGGTGACAAACCTGTCCTGTTCTCTACTCTCTATTTACGTTGCCGTTCTTTTCTTATTTTTTTTTAAGATTTTTATTGGGGAATTGGGGGGATGGGACCAGTACAGGGGAATTGGGGGAAGGGAAACAGACAAGTTGCTGTCGTTTTGTTCTTCAATTTAGTTGTGGAGGACATTGCTTCACTGGCCCAAGTTGGCACCATCATTGCGCTCTTCCCGGGCGAGGCAAATCAGTCGCCGGCTTCTGGACGGCCGCTCACAGCGGCTGCTGGCCGCTCATGCTGGCTGCTGGCTACACACAGTAGCCCATGGCAACCCACTGCCACAGGGGCTGCAGCCTACACCGTCACCGGCGACTCACGGCAGCCCAGCTCCAGGTTGAGCTGTTGTTCAGCATCTTAGCTGCAGAGGGCAGTGTCACTGGCCCTCATATGTGGGATCCGAACCGGGGCCCTCTGGCGTCCCAAGCCAGTTCTTAACCATCGCGCCACTAGGCCGGCCCATACGTTGCCTTTCTTATGCTACTTGATTTTTTTTTCCTGTCCCTTGTTTTTTTTTTCTCATGTATAAAAATGGAGGCAATAATAGCACCACTCCTTAAAGCTGTGAAAACAAGGCAGTTAATACATGTAAAGAACTTACAATACCAGGTGCCTAAAAAACAAATACGAGTGTTAGTATATACCGTTTGGGGTCCTCAAGACCCCCCTCAGGTTTGACAATTACTAGGACTCACAGGACCCAGAAAAGCTGTTATACTCACAGTATGGCTTGTTACAACAAAAGAAAATGGATTAAAATCAGCAAAGGCAAAAGGTGCATTGGGTGGAGTCCAGGTGCACTGGACCAGTTGCAAGCTTCCAGTTGTCCTCCTCCCAGTGGTCACACAGAGCTTAATTCTCTGAGCAATGTCATGTAGCAACACATGCAATGTCACCAACCAGGGAAATTCACACATGCCTTGGTGTCCAGGGTTTTTATTGTGGGGAGGGTGTCAGTCACACAGCCATGCAGCGTGTGTGATTGACCTTAGCTACTCAGTCTTAAGTTCCTTCTCCTCTGCCTCCTCGCCTCAAGAGGTCAAATGGGTATATTGTGACCCGAAGCCCAGGGATACAAAAACAGGCATTCAGTATACATTGTTAGTATACTATGTGGCATGGCCCAAAGTCTCAGGTATACAAAGACACTTTTATCAGGCCGGCTACCCCAAGGGTTCAGAGGAGCCAATCAAGGGATGGTCCTAAGACCTTTGAAATGTGGAGGGTTTAGGCAACTCAGGCTTACTGGGTTAACCGTTTACTGCATAGATTTGTAAATTTTGCTTGCCTATTTGAACACTCTAGTTCAACCATTTTTAAACGTTTTGAATGGTTTTTTAGTATGTGGCATTTATTGAATGTCTACTGTGGCCATGGCTCATAACTTTCTCTCTATAAGCTTGAAAATAATTTCAGTTTCAATCCATGTTTATAAACATCGGAAAGAAATGGCTATTACTCCAGTATGAAAGGAAGCATTAGAAATCAAAGATCACTACTATTATTGCAATAATGGTGATAATAGAGTGCTCCATAAATTGCAAGTATGGTTACATGTCAAATACTTTATGTAGCTTATTAGTTTGAGTCCTTAGCAACACCTGTGGGAGGTAGGTGACAGTTCTATTTTACAGGTGAGAGACTAAAGGTCCAGAAAGTTTTAAGAACACCTTAGCCAGGAAGCGGTAGAGTCTACAATCTGATTGAAAAGCTCATGGTCTTACCGTAATGCATGATAGTTTCTTATGACCTTGAGAAACAAAGGCTTTAACAAGTATTTCGAAATATTAACATTCTAACAAAGTTTATTTGACTTTACACATCTCAAGAGCCATAGAACATTTAGACACCGCAGCAGAATTGTAGTGAGACCATGTGTTCCTTTCACCAACAGATGAGACATCTGCAAAGAAGATTCCCAGATGCCTCATCCCATAGAAATATGGTGAAGACACAAAAGCAAGGAAAACAGAGCTACAAAACGGGTGGAAGTTATATAGTTATTTTGAGTGTCTTGAGTAGTTAAGAGGAATATCAAATCTGAATGCCTTCCAAGGTTCCAAAATTGCTGCCACCAAGACTTGTTTATAATCCTATCTTTTTCCTTCTTTCCCCTCACTATTAGATCTCAGTCTGTGGTAGAAGCTGGGACCCTGAAGCATGAGGAGAAGGGAGAGAATGAAAACACTCAGCCACTCCTGGCTCTGGACTGAACCCGGAGTCAGCCCATGCTCCCGCATAGCGTCAGCCTTCAGTGGTACCAGCCACCCAGGAAGCACATGAGAAACTGACCCACACAGATGCGTGCATTCGGCTTGACACGAGATCCTCTACTCCTGCCACCCAGTAATGACTGTCACGCGCCGCTGGCTGGAGCAACCACAGTTGAACAAAAACTTGAGAGACACTATTTGTTTTTTTTTTTCAGTGAGGGGATTGGAGGATGAAGCAAGGCAGTTATGTATACAAGATTCTCCCTCTCCCATATTTATGGTATTAAATTAATTGCAAAGAGGAAAACTAAATTTGATGCACACACTGCATTAGGACAAAGATTTTTCCTCTCCAGTTGCAATTTAAGAGTAAGTGCTTTTCTAAGTAGATACGCCAGAATTAAACTGTGCAGACACAATTGTCAAGTTTAATGTAGGACAAAGCCCTGGGACAATAGTATCTCCAGTAATTTCCATTCTTATTGAATTATTTTCTTTGACCTCATCACCAGCATCAAATTGTTCAGCCTAAGAGCATGTTCTCGGAGGTCTGGCTATTTGCAGTTTGCTTATTTTGATATCCTGTAGAAATGATTTTGACGTCACGAATCTTTTGTCAGGCTACTAGCTGATTATCGTGAGCTGACTTTAAAAGAAGGCACACAATTTGAAATACGATTATTTCATCTTAGCAATGTGACTTCCCACAGGCTATGTGTGTCTGCAGATAGTGGAGGTGGTAGGGTCCCATCAGAAACACATGTCAGTGATTGATGAATCCATTCAAGTGGCCTTCACTTGGGTAACGACAGCAGAAAAAAGTGCTACTAAAGCATTTAACCCTCCACCCTCCTGCATCCAGTTAAAAGTGGAGAGCAAGGGCCTGGCTGTTGCTGAGTGGGTAGGTATTCAATCATGGAGGAAGACCCTTACGGATGGGTAAACACACAAGTACTGAAAATGAGAGAAGACGAGGAATGCAGGATGAAATGCCAAAGATCATTTTATTTCTTTGTCTATTCTCCTTAGAAATGGAGCCTCCCCACTATCCATTCAAAGGAAATTAGATAAAAATAAAGGTATCCTTGGATATGATAGCCTTACTTGTGCCATGTTTCCCAAAACCAATTGTATGTTTTTCGATATCTCTTATTCTCCCAGCCATCTGCAGGACATGGGCATTCATTAGTACGACCAGTTGGTGCTCAATGTCAAATCAAAACAATTTAGTTGATAATGGGAAGTCAAATATGATTTTACATTTTAAGGATTTGGGAGGGTTAATTTGTTAGCTAAAAATTTCAAACGAAAGAGGTGACTGAACTGGCCATAAATCACCCCAATGGATATTATTACTAATTGCAAGCATTTATTACATTTCTTTCTCAATGAGTCTAGTGTTTTCATTTTTTTCTACTAGTAGACAATAATAACATAAGTAGTTTTTGTATCCCACCCTTGAAATAAAATTGAAATAGAATTAAAAATATTTCTCAACCAATTGCACCACAGTATTAATAAAACTAATTCATTCTGTGTAGACATTTCAAATAACAAAATAATAACACTGAAATGATTCTCCCAATGCAGTGACTGAAACACTTTCCTTATATACCATGACATATGGAAGAAAGATGGCGAATTAAAGTGAATTAGAAAATCCATTTTATTACTTGGGTTTATAAGATAGTTGTGTAATCCAGGTATTTAAAATGCTATTGGAGTCAATTATTTCCAACTTTTGCAACAGTAATAACAATTCTGGCTTTTCAATTGGCAATATTTAGAATCCTACTGTAGTGACCTGATTTTAAATACCATATTATAATTACTAAGTTAAGAGCTCGTTTTTACTTGTTCCATAATTTCATTACATGAATGTATGCTGATGGTTCAACAATGAAAACTTATACTTTGAATTTGTTTATGTGTATGCAATATACATACAAGAGCCAAATTCAACAAATGACATGAATGTTACCACATGAGCACTGCATTGTATCGTCCTGTGTCAGTCATTTCTTCTGTTCAATAAATACTGAAGGACACAGATACCTTTTTATTTTTCAAGAGTTTTGCTTCTTCTTCTGGACTCTGGTAATTCATTTTGCTATTTTTCCTCACATACTACTTCATCTGTTTTAGTGAGACTTTTGAACACTGGCAAAACAAAAGGGAAGGCGAAAAGTATTTGGCAAATTCTTCTCCTGGAAGCTAATGTGCTCAAGGAGAAGCAAAAAAACGTCCATTTTATTTTAAAGAACAGTTTTGAAATGAGATCAAGAAAGCGTGCTCCTTTGTCGTTAGGTGAAAAAGAAAGCACAAGTGCTTTTTATATTTGTGAATGAAACTTGGTAACCTGTTTCATTTTTTCAGCATTTTTGTTCATATTGGCTTAAAATTCAGTGCATTAATATCATTACATTCTTAAAGCTAACATTTCTGGTTAGCTTTAATTTAAAAAACAAAATTTAATGCATTAATAGTTTACTAAATGAATGACTTGGTCATCTTTGGAATGAGCTGGCAAGACCATTTTTCAATTGTGATTTCTATGCTGTGGATAATAGTGAACCTAGGCAACGGATAATAACTGCTACTTCAAAGTGATGCTTAAATTGTGGAAGTTTCTCAAGCCAGGGAGCTGGAAGAGTCTTGCAAACTCTTTCAAAGAGCAACCTTGACATCCTACGCTCAGGACAAAGGTCCTGGTATGCTTGGTCTTCCACTCCGCCATCCTTCATATTCTTACAGAACTGTAATGGGAATCCTTTCAAAGACTGGTCCTTGCACAGACCTACAATAGGCGAAGACACTCTGGAGTCCAGCCCCGTCTCACAGACAGGCCAGAGGCCAGTGGCCAGGCGTCCTAGCAGCCACCTACCTACCAGATCCCGAGAAAATTTTTACTTGGGAAAATTTTACTTGTTCTTTTTTATTCAAGCCTGCATACTTGGCATTAAAAAAATTTACATGTGAAGGGCCGGCCGAGTGGCTCAGTTGGTTAAGAGCTCGCTCAAGAGTTTGAGCTCTGAGCAACAGCGGTTCGAGTCCAGCCCGAGCTGAGCAGCCACTGAGCTGCCAACAGGTAGCAGGATGGCTCAGCTAAAAAAAAAAAAAAAAAATTTTACATGTGGCATTTGTATAACTCAATATAAAATGATTGCGTGTCTAATTTTAGTGTAAAAGGTTCCTCTTAGAAAGAAATGCCATCTTGACAGTATCTCCACCACTCATATAGTGAGGAGAGAAATTAAGACACTTTGATTCTCAATGAAGATAAGAAAGCAAATAGACTCAATGGGTAGGGAACAGTACAGTTCATTGGTGTAATGTATGTCTTTCTGCTTTGTATTAGGAAAATAAAATTGCTTTTTTCATGAATGTCTTTGACTAAAAATAATTATAAGAGGGAAGTCTGAATCCACTGGGAAAGTTACCATTAAACAGCTAGAAGTAAAGCATTTACACAGCTTGTTAAAATTAACAAAAAAAGTAGTGGTACGTGAGGATAAAATCTAGCTACCCTAGAAAAATATAATTGCATAGAAAAATTACAAGCTAAAGTAATCTTTTCACAGTTTCTACATACATTCTCACTGTACACTGATTTAACCTATTCTAAATGGAAAAACATATCTTTGGCTGGCAAGGTAGACGCTATCATGGATTCACCTGAAATACGGGCACCAGATGGGTGCTGTCACAGGATGGAATACGGCAGGGTATTTTCTAAGTGATTTGTAGTGAGGCAAACAATCCCCTTAGTGTCTTCACACCCTAAGAAGAGGTTTAGAAGCTTTCAGACTGCAAATCAAGAAAATGAAGGACCTTGGTGTTTGAACTTCTATGCCCACACCCACGGACAGAGAACCAGAAGGAAGCCCCTCAACAGTGTCCTGAGCCTGAGTGACGCTAAATTGCAGGAAGGCTGCGTCTCTGCTGGGGCGTCAGCTCTGGGTGCCACACATCCACGATGAATATCAGCCGGAAAGACGACGCGTCCTGCCACACCTCGTGCTCGAAGGAGTCGTCAAAGATGAGCACTTTGCCTTCCTCCCAAGTCCTGGAACAGAAACACACAAGTTCTTGTGATTCTGATGCCTGAGGGTCAGTTTATATCAACGTGCAGGAAGGAACTGTCAGGGTCACCTTTGCAGTATGACCCGATAACTGGACCCTTCTGGCCAGGAGTTAGTCTTTCCTTAGTAAGAAAGAATTCCAGGATTCTTACCATGAACACCAATTTTCAACGCTCAGCACTGAAGGTGTACAAAGGGCAAGAGTCTGGTGATAAAGGCATCCTTATTCTTGTTAGGAACTTAGGAAGGCTTGCTTAGTTGGGCAAGCATTCAAGAGTGTCCCGGAAGCTCATCCCAAGCGTGACTTCCAGTCAGTGACAGTATAGAGTCCTCCCCGGCATTTCAGAGATGAGTTTAGACCTACATGCAGTGACCAGCTCTCTGGTTTCTCTCTGCCCCATAGGATACCTGGAACGGTGTCTGCCCATCTCCAAAGGATTCTCTTTTCAAACCATTCCATTGGTTCAAGCTCCCGTTTATGGAAGAACGTTCCATTTTATGGAAGGGCAGACGGTTTATATTTCTCACGTCATCTGTGAAGCAAGTGGGTTATCCATGGAATGTTTTACATCAAAACACCCTTTAGGGCTGACAGCACTGCTCCCTAAGATATCTGTACAGGAGCTAAGATCTAAGTATAGTGTTATTTTAAGTAAAGCAGTCAAGAGAGGAACCTGCAGGGGGCAATTACACAATGCCTTTCAAATCCAAAGAAAGTTTATTCATCATGCTAATGTTGCCTTCTTCTTCAAATAGGTATTAATTGCCAATATTTTAAATGCTAAGTTTTGTTTTTAAAATAAAAACTTTTCACTACGAAATCTTCTTTAGATATTAAAATTCCACTCAAGAAGTTAAAAATTTATGTTCTGGGTTAGCAAGTAATTAAAATTACAGGAGGGACAATACTAGTTCAATTTCAAGTTACTGCATTATCATAAGGACATTTTCCTTAGAAAAACGATTTGTGTCTTTTTATGTTCATCACTAGGTGATTAATCAGTATTAAATTAAGTAATATTACATATTGTGGGGTTTTTTAACCTTAGCACTGTTGACATTTTGGGGCCAGATAATTCTTTGTTCTGGGGGGCTGTCTTGTGCTCTGTGGCAGTGTCTCTGGCATCTACCCACTGATACTAATAGCACTCCCCCACCAAATGTGACAAGCAAAAATGTCTCCAGTCATTGCCAGATGTCCTGGGAGAGTGGGGGTGAGGTGGGAGGCAAATTCATCCTAAATATGTTAGAGAATCTGACAATAACATTTCGAAATTATTTAAAGTAACAGATAAAGTAACAAACATCTGCCAACCCCTGCCCCGCTCTCCAACACACACACCTTGTGTGTGTGTCTCACACACCCAGACTACCATCTTGCATTCGATAAACATGCATTGTTTGGCTCTTTGCTGTGATTCCTCTGAAGGTTCAAAGAGTTCTATTGGAGTTCCATCCAAGTATAACAAAGGACAGAAATATGTAGACTCAGGAGAAACATACAGACTCAGATAAATGACAAGAGTATGCATTCATTGCCATGCAAAACGAAACTTGAAAAGGCGAAGCTTAAGAAAAAAAATGACAAGATAAAGGAAGTGAAATGACCCATGGCATATACAGTGTGGTGGTCATTTTCTAAGTCTTAGTGTCATCAGTGGGACAGAGCAATGTTAATGGGTACCACTGACAAGCCTACGATATAGGCAGATGATAAGGAGGGCAAGTGTATTCAGAAGTGTACTCAGTACACTCATGTCATAGCAGCATGACTCACAGCAGCAGAAGGCAGAAGTAACCCAAGTGTCCACAGACAGATGAATGGATAAACCAAATGTGATCTATACACACAGTGGAATACTACTCAGCCGTAAAAGCAAGAGAATTCTCACACATGCTACAAGACAGATGGACTTTTAGGACATTATGCTAAGTGAAATAAACCAGTCAGGACAGAAGGACAAATATTGTATGATTCCACATACATGACATACTTCGAGTTGTCAAATTCATATAGATGGAAAGAAATGACGAGCTGTTTTTCACATGGGTACTGAGCTTCAGTTTTGTGAGATGAAAAGTGTTCTCTGGATGAATGGTGTGATGGTAGCTCAATATGAGTGCACGTAATGTCCAAAACTGTACACTTAAAAATAGCTAAGATGATAAATTTTATGTTATGTGTAGTTTACTACAATTAAGTAAGAAAAAAAGGGAAGAGGGAGAGAAAGTGGGAGAGAAGCCACAGAGCATGATGGAAAGGTCATGGGTTTTCAAGGGAGGCAGACTGAACCCTCTTGGTCCTGCCACTTACTAGTATGTGACTCGGGTGAGTTACTAGCACATTTGAGCCTTTTCTATCTCCATCTGTGTAGTTGATGTGAGCACGAACATATGGTTGGCACATAGACGATATTCAATTAATGGTAGAGAATACAAAACAGAGGAGAAAGAAAAACACTGAAAACATTGGGAAAGGATAAAAGATAGAGGTGATAACGTTGGAATGTGCCATAATGTTACCAACGGTGACCTTGGCATCTGTCCTTGTGAATTAGCCTTCATTTGCGAAAACTGAGCTCTTCCAAGGGGGCAAGATATCAAAAATACTTAAGACAATCTGTGAAATACACTTTGTGCTGCATGACAAGTGATTCTCAGTTTTTTGAGGGCTGACAGATCTGAAACCTACTTAAAATACCGGAAGCAATAAAAATAACTAGAAAATTCTAGGTTGCACAAAATGACACTTTTCACTAGAGTCTGATAGGTATAAGAAAGGCAAAGATTTCAAAATGCTTCATGAGAGAAAAATCTTGAACATTCCATTTCCACTCATGAACTTAAATTCCCTGTAAACTGGGCAAAGCCTTTAGCGCTGGAACACACTGGTTCATTTATTTACAGAACACCAGTGTCTGTAAGGGTGGAACTTAAGTTACCACTCATTTGTGGCTGTTCAGGTATTTAAAATCAAATACAGACTAGTGCAAACCATTGATTAAACAATTTTTAAACATAAAATCTAGGAGGTATTCCAAAGGGTTGGATTTCTTTAGGCCTGTAAAACTCACGGGGAAGTGTGTCCTATGAGACTTTTATTTGCCCTTCCATTTTCTTTCATACATTTGCCCAGAAAATAGCAAAGATACTCAATTACTTAATATAGATTTTAAAATGTAGATTCAGGCCGGCCGAGTGGCTCAGTTGGTTAAGAGCTCGCTCAAGAGTTTGAGCTCTGAGCAACAGGGTCCCCGGTTTGATTCACGGCCTGAGCTGAGCTGCCGCTGAGCTGCCAACAGGTGGCAGGATGGCTCAGCTTAAAAACAAACAAACAAACAAAAAAACATAAAATGTAG